GGAGGAAGGAACGTAGGGCTTCCCTACCTTCTCTGGGTACACCATCCTCCCAGCACCTGGGTCCTGGGTTCACCAACCCAGAAGCTTATCAAATGCATAGTTTAGGGGGGTTTTATGGAGGCTCCATTATGTATACATGATTGAGCAAATCATTGGCCATTGGTAATTAACTCAATCTCCAGCTTCTCTCCCTTCCCTAGAGGTCGAGGTCCACCTGAAAGCTCCAACCCTCTAATCATACCTTGAACTTTGTGACAACTGGCCCCCATCCCAAAGCTATCTTGGAGCCCCAAGCCACCCATCATCTCATTAGCATACAAAAAGATACTTTTTTCACCCAGAAAGTCCCAAATATCTTAGAAGCTCTTGTGTAAGGAACCAGCGACTAAGATCAAATATAACAAAAGATGCTTTTACACCCTTATCACTCAAGAAATTACAAGAGTTTTTGGCGTTCTGTGCCAGTAAATAGGATGAAGATCCAATATATGTTTCTTATTCTATCACAATATCACAAGTCATTGCCATTTTCCATAGTGTAAATGCTCCCACCACAACTGCTTTAAAGCACCAACTCGCTGCATCTGCAAGCTGAGTCAGGAAGAAGCGGGCACAATTGGCTGCAGGAAGCCTGTGTGAACCCACAGAGGTTAGATTGTTTCTTTAGCAAGTGTAAATTAGATGAGCAACTTCCTCAAGTTTACACAATAAGATTCTCAGTAGGAGGGTCCCCAGGGGAGTTTTTAGATTCCCCCCCAGGGACTGGGGGTGATGAGGTTTTCAGTGTCCTGGGACCAGGGAAACTGAGAACCGTCAGGCCTCAGGGCTCAGCTCAGTTCTGTGCAATGAAGAGGGTCCACCCAAAAGGCTAATAGCTCCCTATTTAGAAACACTAATAGTGGGTGAAAAAAGTGAAGCAACAGTACCAAAAGTATGCCCTGAAAGCTCTTGCTGAAGCGAGATGCAGTGGACGTAGCTCACTCACTCGTTCTTAGAGTGTCAGGTATTTATGTCGTTTGCAGCTTTCCACTGGTACCATATTGTTCACATGTTTTCTTTGCAAATCAAGCTTGCTTTGAGTTTCAAAATAAATTTCTAGAAGCAGAATTACTGGGTGGAAGGGTGTGGACATTTGAATGCCCCCAATATAGACAGTCAAATTGTTCTCTGAAGCTTGCACTCTCAGTATCCTTGCTCTGAGAGTCTGTTCCAGGAAGAGCAGCCATTTAAACAAACAAGTGACGCAAAGCAGGGTGACAAGTGCTAAGCTGGCCGCTGGGGGTGGTTATTAGTGATTTGTGCGAGGAATTTACAGAATGTGGGATGACAGAAGTCTTAGCTCAATGGTCCTTGAAGTGTGTCTTTGGACCAGCAACAGCAGCATCACCTGGAAACTTGTTAGAAATGCACATTCTCAGGCCCTGCCCCATTACCTGCAGAATTATACACTCTGCGGGTGGGGCCAGCAAGGTGTGTTACCAAGCCCGCCAGGTGATTCCAATGTCTCTTAACATTTGAGAACCAGTGCCTTAGAATGATGGTAGCAGGTGCTTCCATGCAGGTGACTGAGTGGTAGCAGGTGCTTCCATGCAGGTGAAGCTAAGCAGGAGAAGGCACAATACAATTGAAGTCTGTAAACCCAGGCAGGCTGAGTCTTGGCACACCTGACCAAAGTGAAGAAGGCAGGGGAGGAGGTGGACCCAGGCAGGGACTTTGAGGGCCAGAATAGACCATGATTCTGACCCGAGGCTTTTCATGGAGGCTGATAGGGACAGGGGACAATGGCGATAGTGTGTCATTGTAAAAGGGCAATATTAAGAGTGAATAATGGGTAGCATTTATTGAGTGCATACTATATGCCAAAAACTGTACGTGCATCAACTCGTCTAAACCTCACAACCTAAGATAGCTACTGTTATTGCTCACATTTGATAGAAAAGGACAGAGAGGTTAAGTGATTTGCTCAAGATCACATCCACAGCAGGAAAGGGGCCAAGACAGTCTTGCCCTGGGCTGCTGGCCCCAGAACCCCTACCCTTGACAGCTGACCATGGTACACAGCAGCTCCCAGTGGGCAAGGAGATTCTGTGTGCAGTACTGGCCCAGGCCATTGGAAGAGAAAGAATAATGAGACTGAAGATTTGGATTTGTTCAGTAAAGAAAGACAAAGGGGAAGAAGATAATTAACACTTATGAATCACCTACTGGGATGAATGGTCTTCTTTTAATTCTTACATCATCCTTATTTTACCAATGCTGAAACCGGAGTAGAAGAAGTTAGACAGCCCCACACTGCTTCTGAGTGGTACATCGAAGTTCAAATCCAAGTCTGTCTGCCTCCAATGTTCAAGCTGTCCACCAGGCCTTGCTGCCTGCCATCAATAGCTGCTGTTCGTTGAGCCTTATGCCTGCCACCTTGCCAAATGTCATAAATTGCTTTTTCTCCTGTAATCTCACAGTCTCCAGGCAGGTAGTACTATCCCCATCTCACAGATGTAGAAATGAAGGCCTGGAGAGGTTAAGTGCCTGGCCAAGTTCAGAGTCAGTATGTGGTGGTGGGGGAGGGGGGACGGGACAGGGCAGGCATTGTGTTGTTGGGCACATGAACTTGATAGGACTACACATCCTCACCCACCATCTCTGTCCTAGCTTTGGTCAATGACATGTGAGTGGAAGCAATGTGTGTTAGTACTCGACAAAAGCAAGATTAACATTTGCTGTGCCCAACGCCACTGCAACAGGTGTGTGATGCACTGGAGGGGCAAGCCTTGCCACTTAAACCATTGCCTTGTTGAGATTGTTACTGCAGCACGGCCTCGCCCATCCTCACTGATANCTTAAACCATTGCCTTGTTGAGATTGTTACTGCAGCACGGCCTCGCCCATCCTCACTGATAAGGCGTGGGAGAAGGGGCGGTCTGTAGCCTTCAGAGTCTAATTTCACTATTGCCATCCTGTACCTCTAATAACACCTTCAGAACTCAGTTATATTGGGGGGCAAAAAAGAGCTAAAAGGCTGCCATTTTCTTCTTTTCAGTTACTCAATATAACGCTCCCAGTTTTTGCCCTTTGGTTGTTCTGCCACCCCTCACAGAGAAAGGTAAGTTCATTGTCTTTTCTATCTTATGAGAGCACCACCTCATCTTCTTCCTCTTTTTTCCTCCTCTTCCCCTTGCTTTTGTCCAGTAGCGTGTAGCTCTCAGGAGACTCCCACATTCATTAATTTCAGCTCCTATTGATTACACACATGCAAGGTAGGGCAAATACCAGCAACATGCACACTTTACAGATGAGGAAACTGACTCAGAAATTAAATGATTTGCTCAAGTAATGCAGCTAATTAGAAGCAGAGAGGGACTTAAGCCCAGTTCTTCCAATTTTCATTCTAAGGACTGCTTCACCCTATCAAGTAAGGACTAGTCCTACACGGTACTGGGGCAATGTGAAGAATGATGGAATTTCTCACCAACAAGTGACAGGACTTAGCTCTTTATTAGTGCATAGGCATTGGGGCTCACAGTCATCAGGCACACGGGACATCATGTTGACATCTGAGGATGTTTCAGTTACTCAATATAACGCTCCCAGTTTTTGCCCTTTGGTTGTTCTGCCACCCCTCACAGAGAAAGGTAAGTTCATTGTCTTTTCTATCTTATGAGAGCACCACCTCATCTTCTTCCTCTTTTTTCCTCCTCTTCCCCTTGCTTTTGTCCAGTAGCGTGTAGCTCTCAGGAGACTCCCACATTCATTAATTTCAGCTCCTATTGATTACACACATGCAAGGTAGGGCAAATACCAGCAACAGGCACACTTTACAGATGAGGAAACTGACTCAGAAATTAAATGATTTGCTCAAGTAATGCAGCTAATTAGAAGCAGAAAGGGACTTAAGCCCAGTTCTTCCAATTTTCATTCTAAGGACTGCTTCACCCTATCAAGTAAGGACTAGTCCTACACGGTACTGGGGCAATGTGAAGAATGATGGAATTTCTCACCAACAAGTGACAGGACTTAGCTCTTTATTAGTGCATAGGCATTGGGGCTCACAGTCATCAGGCACACGGGACATCATGTTGACATCTGAGGATGAAGCACTGGCCCCGAGCCCAGGAGCCCAGACTGTGGCTGGTGCTCCCTCCTGCATGTCATACAAGGTCCCCACCACAACACGCTCTGTCTGGCTAGGAGGCAGCAGGAAGTGCAGGCAGGATGGGTGCAGTGGGGATGTGTGGGTGGGTGCTCTGGAGAGAGTGAGGTGGAAGGGTGCAGGCCAGCGTGGGCCTCACTTCCCTGTCCCCTGTTCTGCTCCCTTTGTCAGGAAATGACAGGCTTGGCCAGGGTACCAGACACTGCTCAGCTGAGAGGCCAAGTAACGTTAATTCCTGCCCTGTGACGTGATGTCTGAGGGCTCCTAGACACCTGTCATTGTGGCCCTTGCTGGAGAAACAGAACATAGCTCATGTAGGAGGGAAATATTTAAAGCCAAGGCTGTGGCTAAAAGTATAAAAATGTTCTCAACCATGTTATCAGTTTCCTTCACCCCATTAAAATAACTAACTTTGGAGATCATTATATATATTCGAGTATATGTGTATGTGTGTGCGTGCGCATAATTTTTTCCTGAGCATTCTACACAGAATGTCCATACTGAGCTCTTTACATGTATGATCAGGTGTTAGCTTCCTGAAATATTTTGAGGCAAGTGTCATTATTAACAGGTCCTGGATAACAGAGGTGGGGCTTAGAGAGAGGTTAAGACACTCAAGGCCAAATAGATTAATACAGTCTGAGCCAGACTTTGGTCAAAATTGGTTTTGAATTTTATCAATGTAATGAGTGTACAAACACAAAATAATCAAAAATTCCAAAAGGTTTAAGGTATATATATATATATTAAACAAACAGGCAAACAAACAAACTAGTTTCCTGTGTCACCTCTACCCGCCTGCCACTCCCATCCCAGAAGCCACCACTTTTGACTCTTTTAGCTATTTTTTTCTCATCCCAGCTTCCATGCTGCTAAATCATGTGCGAATATCGCTATTTCTTATCAATTTTAGAATGATTATTGAGCTCTTTCACTTTTATCACCCCTTAAATAATTTTCCTCCTTCTTCCTTGTAATTTAGTAATATCAAAATTTGGGGTTGAGGGCCGGCCCGGTGGCGCACTGGATAGTGCGCCGCTTGGGAAGCGCGGCGGCGCTCCCGCCCGAGGGTTCGGATCCCACATACAGACCAGTTCCCGCTCACTGGCTGAGCGAGGCGCGGGAGCAACACCGAGGGTTGCGATCCCGTTGCCGGTCCCTGGTCCGGTACGGGGGCAACACTGAGGGTTGCGATCCGTTGCCGGACACGGAAAAAGACAAAAGACAAAAAAAAAAATTGGGGGTTGAAACAATAAATATTTAATCGTTATGGCCATGTGGATATGGTTCACCCCACAGCAACATCCCATCGTAATTGTCAACCCTGTGTGCAGGGATTTTGGGCCATCCTCCTGCGGTCAGCCCGTGTTCCACCCCTGCCTTCCGTGGCCCTCGTGCTTCCTGGGCTCCAGGGGTGTGTGGGGCAAGGGTGGTGTCAGTGCTTTCTTCTGTGGGCACCTGCAGTGTTACTTACTACCTTCTGCTGAGTCGGCTGACACGTCAGCATCTCCTTTTCTGCTCTTTCTCACCGCTTGCCTGCCTGCTTGCTGGCTTTCTCTCTTTCTCTCTCTTTCTTTCCTTGTCTCTTTGTTTCTTTCTCTTTCTTTGTTTATTATCCTCGTGGGTTTAGACTTTTTTATTCCTCTATTTTGTGGAAATTTGTGGAAGGAGAGAAGATACATGTGCTGTGTCTAGTTAAAAGCAATAATACAGTATTTTTTGAAACTTTCAAACCCTGAATAAAGATTTATTTTATCCTCAGCACTGTGCTCAGTGTTTGATCTTCACACAGACCTCAAGAGACAGGTCCTGTTATAATATTTGTTAGTTATAGAAAGTTCAAACACTGCAGGGATGTAGAAGGAAACACCACACAGTTATTCAGAAGTTACTCCATGTTGGTTAATACACTGATTTATTTCCTTCTAATCTTCTTAGGCTTTTCTGTATGGTCTGATGGAGTTGCAATTGCTCTATTTATAATGTTGCATTTACTCCATGTTGGTTAATACACTGATTTATTTCCTTCTAATCTTCTTAGGCTTTTCTGTATTGTCTGATGGAGTTGCAATTGCTCTATTTATAATGTTGCATTTTTTTGTTGTTTTTTCCTAATATTGCATCATGTATATATTTCCAAATTGTTTTCTGTCTCTCTAGATCATGGCATTCATGCATGCATGAGTGTATTCATTCACTCACTCATTCATTCTTCTACGTCCCTACCTTCATGATGCTCACAAGCTAGTGACGGACAAACAGGCAGGACAGTATAGCCACCACAGGGACGGTTGTCATCTTATTCCACCAGTTCGCTAACCCACTCCTCTGTTCTTAGACATTTGACTGTTATGACTCTTCATCGTTATTGAAATACCACAATGAACACCTTGGTACCTAAGACTTCTTCTGAAGTCCAGATTATTTCCTGGGGACAGATTCTGCGAAGCAGAATTACTGGGTTTGACAAATTTATATTTTAAGACTCTAGCTTTATATTGCCAAATTCGTCTGAAACAGTTGTTCCCAGTTGCACACTTACCAGTTGTGAATGAAAGTATCTTTTTTTCCATCACATACAAAGGGTACTTTAAAAAACTTGTGGAAAAATAAAATTGAAAGATAAAATGAATCTTTCCATGAATTTTATGAAGTATGCTGGTAATTGTCATCCTTAAGTATCATCACTAAAAAAAGTTACTTATTAAATTTATAGATAAATGGTGCTTTAGTATCTAAATGTCAAATACTGACTGTTGGAGATGTATAAACCAAAGCTTAAACATCTTTGGGCTTTTATAATGCTTCCACTCTATTTTTATTAAACATTTGTATTATTGAGACTTGTATTACCAACAAAAGAAAAAAAAAAGTGTATTAAGCATCTCTGTTCACGTATACACAAAGTCTATGAATTTGGGTATATGTTTCCAAGGCAGAATTAGATCTCACGGTATTTTTAAATGTGTCTTTAACAAGTGTGATTTAAGAGTAACAGATGTCAGAGCCCACATTCCATCTGTGCTGAGAGTTCCCAAATTGGAATTTGAGTTTGGGAGTGTTTCTTTGATGTAAATCAGAGGGAGGGTATCGTTCTGCCTTCAGAACTTTAATATGCCGGTGTGTGATGCTGACGTGGATTGTATGTGTGTGAGGTGTGCCCATGCATGTATGTACCCTGAACATGTAAAATACTCATTTTTGTGTGCCTTCTAATCAGGAGAAAAGGAAATATTTATTAAATAACAGGCATCTATAAATCATTTCATGCTCACAAGAAAGTTAGGTGGTAGCATGGTCTCTCAATATTATAGTAATTGATGGAGGTCACTCAATATCTCCTAGAAATTTTTTTGATTAAGCTGAAGACAGAGTGATGTGATCCTAAAAAATGTCATTACCAGCAGGGAGCATGCACATCAAAAGTTAGGTGGTAGCATGGTCTCTCAATATTATAGTAATTGATGGAGGTCACTCAATATCTTCTAGAAATTTTTTTGATTAAGCTGAAGACAGAGTGATGTGATCCTAAAAAATGTCATTACCAGCAGGGAGCATGCACATCAACCAGCTGAGGGAAGCAAGGGGACATCACTGTGCAGCATGTGGGCTTTGAAGCCTGCCTGCCCAGCTTCCCTGAGTACCCTGTGGCCAGATTTCTCAGCCTTGTGATGGCTCCATTTACCTCTGGAAAATGAGAATGTGGTGACAAATAAACACCAACCTACTGGGCTTGTGCTAAGGAGTACATAACGTACAGTGCTCAGCACAGAGCCTGGGGAAGAGTGGGTATTCCAGAATGTCAACAACAGTTCCCAAGTCCAAACCTATCTTTTTATAGAGGGAGAAATGGAGGTACAAAGATATATGTTTAAAATTTCTATTTATTGAGTGACTAAATATACCAATCACCGTGCTAAGCACTTTACATATTTTAACCGTCACGCATGCCC